CCCCCCCACATCCCCATAATCCATCTCCACGTCCCCATAACCCACCTGCGTGTCCCCAAAACTGCCATGGGCCCCAAAAATCCGCCCCACATTCCCATAATCGATCTCCACGTCCCTAAAACCCACTTCCATGTCCCCAAAACTCCCATGGGCCCCAAAAATCCCCCCCACATTCCCATAATCGATCTCCACGTCCCTAAAACCCACCTCCATGTCCCCAAAACCTCCACGGGCCCAACCCCCCCCCATCCCCATAATCAACCTCCATGTCCCTAAAACCCACCTCTGTGTCCCCAAAACTCCCATGGGCCCCAACCTCCCCCCTGAGGGGGGATGTGGGTTTCATTTGGGGTCTGAGGGGGGGACATGGCCCCATAGGAGGTCTGAGGAATGACATGACCCCACCAGAGGGGTGACGGGGGACATGGGGTCTGAAGGGGTCTGAAGGGGCACAAGACCCCATAGGGGGGACTGAGGCAGGTTGACATGACCCCACTGGGGGCTCTGAGGGGACCATGGTCCTATTTGGGGTCTGAGGGGGGCCATGGGGTCATCAGGGGATGAGGGGGGACATGACCCCATAGGGGAGTCCGAGGGGTTTATGGGCTCATGGGGAGGTCGGGGGGGGGGACATGGGGTCATTAGGAGGGTCTGAGGAGGGGATGGCCCTTTGGGGATCTGAGGGGGGGCCATGGGGTCCTTAGGGGATGAGGGAGGGACATGGACCTATGGGGGGATCTGAGCAGGGACATGACCCCACTGGGGGGGTTGTGGGCCCATGGGGGGTCTGAGGGGGTCCATGACCCCATAGAGAGGGTCTGAGGGGTCCATGGTCCTATTTGGGGTCTGAGGGGAGACACGGACCCATCTGGGGTCTGAGGGGGAAGTCATGACCCCATAGGGGTCTGAGGGGGGACATGGGGTCACTGTGGGATCTGAGGGGGTCATGGGATCACTGGGGGGTCTGAGGGGGTCATGGGATCACTGTGGGATCTGAGAGGGTCAAGGGATCACTGAGGGATCTGAGGGGCTCATGGGATCACTGTGGGATCTGAGGGGCTCATGGGATCACTGTGGGATCTGAGGGGGTGAAAAGGGATCACTGTGGGATCTGAGGGGGTCATGGGATCACTGGGGGATCTGAGGGGGTCATGGGATCACTGGGGGATCTGAGGGGCTCATGGGATCACTGTGGGATCTGAGGGGGTGAAAAGGGATCACTGGGGGATCTGAGGGGGTCATGGGATCACTGTGGGATCTGAGGGCAGGCCATTACCCCCTCATATCCCCCAGTGATCCCATGACTCCCCCAGGGCAGGGGTTTAATGGAGGTCCACAAGCCCCGCCCACAAGCCGCACCCCCCTTGCCACACCCCCACAAGCCCCGCCCATACAGCCACAAGGCCCCTCCCCCTTTCCAAACCCCGCCCTTCCGCGCCCCCCC